CCCATCTTCTTTGATTGTATTGTCATTGTCAAATATATTTTTATATGTTATAGTCCCAACAAAAAAATTTGTGGACATTGTTTTATACAGATGCTTTTTAAATTAAGAGAAGAATAAGAGAGAAATAGCTACCTGTGGTTTTTAAAATCAGGTCTTTTATCATGTCCTTCAAATTACATTCATCAGAGCTGTCTGTGTGTTCTTTTTTATTTAAAAATATTTTTTATTGAGTTTATTGGGCTGACATTGGTTAACAAAACTAAACAGGTTTCAAGTGTACAACTCAACAAAATATCTGCATAATGCTTCGTGCGCCTATCGCCCAAAGTAAAGTCTCTTTTCATCCCCATGTTTCCCTGTGGCTATAATCATACTGTTGTCTGTGTCTATGTGTATTTGTCTATATATTTGTTTGTTTAGTCTCTTCACCTTTTGTTCACCCAGCTCCCCAACCCCTCACCCCCTGAGAGCTGTCAGTCTGCTCTATGTATGTATGTTTATGTTTCTATTATTCATTAAATTTCACATGTTAAATGAAATCATATGGTAATTGTCTTTCTCTGACTGGCTTATTTCACTTAGCACAATATTCTCCATTCATTTTCGATTGGCCTTTTTTATTCATTTATTTTAAATTTCAGCTTTTTGGAGGTATAATTGACTGAAGCTATTTGTTTTTTATGTGGATTGCAGTTACTGTTTAATGTCACTTGGTTTTAACCTAAAGAATTTCCTTTAATATTTCTTCTTAGGCAGGTTTGAAGAACAAAGTATCTCAGTTTTTGTTTGTCTGAGAATGTCTTTATTTCACTTTTATTTTTGCAATATAGCTTTGTTGGATATAGGATTCTTGGTTGGTAGTTTTGTTCTTTCATCATTTTGAGTATGTTTTTCTACTGCCTTCTTTCTTCATTGTTTCTGATGAGACATCAGGTGTTCGTTTTATTGTGGTTCCCTTATATGTGGTGAGTCATCTTTTTCATGTTGTTACCAAGATTTTCACTTTATTTTTGGCCTCTGTCATTTTGAGTATGGATTTCTATGTTTTTATTCTGTTCGGAGTTTAACCTTTGGATTACTGTTTTTCATAAATTTGGGGAGATTTTTAGCCATTATTTATTCAGATACAGTTTCTGTCCTTTGACTCCTGGTTTTCTCATACATAAGTTACTGCACCTAATGGTGCCCCACATTTCTCATAAACTGTTTATTAGGTAGTATAATTAAAAAAATAATTTATGTTGTATAATTTCTATTGATCTTGTTTCTAGGTGTGTTTTTTTTCCTACTGCCAACTCAAATCTCTTGAGCCCCTTTAGTGAATTTTAAACTCCAGGATTTCCATTTGTTTGAAGTCTTCTAAAGTCCAACCTCAAGCAGTTTTAAATGTTTGCCTTTTTTCTCTTGTGCATAAGATCACACTTTCCTGTTTCTCTGTTTCTTATAATTTTTTTTTTGTTGTTGACAACTGGACATTTTACATGGTACAGGGTATGGCAAAAGTAGGTTTATATTTGTTCGTATGGAAAATAATACATTAATAAATAATAATACAAGAATAAATTCTATTTCATATACTCAAAGTTGTAAACCTACTTTTGTCCCACTCCTGTAGTCTGGAAAATGATTCTTCCTTTCCCTGTGGGTTTTATTGTTGTTTGCTTGCTCAACTATTTGTTTAACAACTTCGCTAGAATAACTCTCTGATGTCTGTTTTTCCCAACAATGTATATAGTCTCAGATAGCCTTGCTCAGATGATATTCCCTTTTTTTGTTTTTTTTTTAAAGGCTGACTTCTTATGTTGCCTTTTGGTCAACATAAACCACTTATTAGTCAAAGATTGTGCTTAAGCCCCCTTTGCTAGTTAGATTTTAATCCTTTGCCATTTCATATTTGTGTGTGACTTAGATTTATTTTTCAAGGAGATCATCTGAGGCTTTCTCTTCAGTCCTTTCTGAGAGCATGCAGCCTTTAGCATTCACACAGTCTTTTAGGCCATTAGGTGTGAGTGTGATTTTATTTTCAAGTTTGCATTGTTAGGAGTTGCCCTAAGAACAACTTATTGTTCAACCAGTTTTTGATCAGAGGTTGTACTAAAGCCCCTTGAGTCTTACTGATTGATGGCTTTGTGTGTGGCTTTAGGGACTGCTTTTAAGTCTGCCCCAAATCCCACTTCGATTTCTCCTTGTTGGATGCAACCTAGTTCATGTCCATAGCCTTCTGGATCCACAGAGAGGAGTGTGATCCTAGGAGAGTCCTTATTTGCTGTCTTTTCTCTTGCTGGCCTGCTCTTTTGTTTGTTTCTACTAGTATCTTGGAGCTGCCAGTTCTGTCTTAATTGTTTACAACCAAAGTGTTGTTTTTTTATTTTTTTGTTATGCTATTGCAGTTGTCCCAGTTTTTCCCCCTTTGTCCCCCTCCACTCAGGACCCCTTCAGCGGTCCCCCCTCCTTTGTTCATGTCCATGGGTCATGCATATAAGTCCTTTGGCAACTCCATTTCCTATATTTGCTCTTAACATCCCCCTGCCTCTTCCGTACCTACCAGTTTGTACTTAATCCCTTCACCTCCCCCCCCCCCCCCCGCAGTTCCTGGACACCTCCCTTCCCAGTGACCGCCATCCCAGTGTTCCCCATACCTATGATTCTGTTTCTGTTCCGCTTCTTTCCTTAGTTTGTTTTTTAGATTCAGATATTGATAGTTATATGTTTATCACCATTTTAATGTTCATAGTTTTTATCTTCTTTTTCTTAAATAAGTCCCTTTAACATTTCATATGATTATGGTTTGGTGATGATGCACTCTTTTAACTTTACCTTGTCTGGGAAGCACTTCATCTGTCTTTTGATTCTAAATGCTAGCTTTGCTGGATTCAATAATCCTAGCCTGTTTATTATACTGGTGAGCTGGGGAAGGGATGATAGTACCTCAGAATTCTTGGTTTTTTGTTAGGTGGGAGTTGATGAGTGGAAGCTACCAGGGATTAGTCGGATGAGAGTCACTTGACACCTGGCTCTCCTAGGGTAAAATTACAGCCTTAGACTAGGAGTTGAGAGTAAGAGGTGAGAGGAAGCCCTTGTCTTTTTTATCACACTCAACAAAAGGGAACTTCCATCACAGAGAGGCTAGCTCTTGTGTGGAGGTGGGGTGGTAGTGATGGGAACAGATCATGGCTCAAATGTCATAGACACTGTTCTTGAATAAAATTCAAGAATAAAATCTTACATAAAATTTTCTCTATTTGTTGCTTGTCTTTAGGACAATTTTTAGTGACTTTAGAATGTTGTTTTTCACCTGTGAAATGGTTAACTTACTAGGAAGAACATCCTTGGTGCTCTTCAGTCTGCCATTCCAGTGGTCTTGATGTTCTACCTCCTCTTTATTTATTTTTAAATAAAGATTCATTGTAATTTTAAGTTTTATTGAATGGTCAAATAATGATGTCTTTCACTGTCAGCTCTTTGGAAGCTACTGAGGTATTCTTTGAGGCCTATTTGTATAATATATTTTCCCAGAATTTCACTATATAAAATGTTACTCTTGTAGTCAGCTCTCTCCTTTTCTTTTTTAATCTTTGTGATCATTTGTAGGCTAATAAATGTTAAATTCTTCTATTGTAAATTGTTTGATACTTTTTTTGTTATTTGAACAGTTAGAAATGTTCTTATTCAGTATGTCTAGGTAAATAGTTTTGTTGTAACTTGAGACTTTACTTTCTATAGGTATGAAATAATTTGTGTAATTCAGTTCAGCCTGAATCCTTTTTTTCAACAGAGGATTTGATATTCATTTACATGACTAGATATTAGATTCTTTTGGTAAATGTTGAATAATGTTATTTGGTACCATAGTGCATGGTGAGGGAAATCTCTTTAGCTCTCAAAATTCATGTGATCCTATTGAAGTTGGTTAGATTATCGCTTATTACTATTCAGAAGTTGATCTCATTTTAAAAGTGTATCACCTGATTATATGTAGTTAGACATAAATTTTTGTTTATTCAACTTCTAGTCAGCTAAGAATTTTATTCATTATACAGATACTCATAGATTGCCATTTATATAATTTAGTCTTTTATGAAGTTCAGCTATTTGCATTTGGTAAAAGGAAACAGATGTCAGTCAAAGTTGCTGGGAATGTCCTTTAGCCAATATCTCTCAGTGGCATCTCTGACCTTAGCTAAAGTGTCTTTCTTTCAGGCCTAGTATATCAGGTTGGCAGGGCTGAATGAGCCTATGTGAGATTCTTGTAGACAGTTGGAATGGCCTAAATCTTGCTCACTCACATAGGATTATTTTTCATCTCTTAGCTCCCAACTACCTGTATCAAACTCCCTTAGATATACTTAATTCCAGAGAAAATGAAGGACAAATTTTTTTTTTACCTCCTTTTGCAACCTTGTAACAGGAATCAGGTGAATATTGGTGAGGAGGTTTTCAGACCAAGGTGTGGTAGACAATGTCCTGGTCTCTGGTCTCAGTGCCTATGAAGATTCTTATCTTTTTTTCTTTTTCTTTTAAATCCTTACCCGAGGATATGCTTATTGATTTTGGGGAGGGGGAAGAGAGACAGACATTGAGAGAAACATTGATTGGTTGACTGCCATACAAGCTACGCTCTAGGATCAAACCCACAACCTAGGTATGTGTCCTGACTGAGGATCAAACCCACAGCCTTTTGGTGTATGGGAACAGTGTTCCAACCAACTGAGCCACGTGTCCAGGGCAAGATTCTTCTTATTTTGCAGGGATTTTGAGTCTAGGAAGACAGTGCCTTTGTGAAATCCTAGGTCTGTTTATATGTCCTTGTTTATGTTTTCATGTTTGCATTGTTTATAAAAATTAGGTTATAGTCAGAAAAAATGAATTCATGTTTTGAAATAAAGTAGGTTAGATAGTAAACCATGATCTTGACTTCTGAAGATAAGTGTAAAATTCAGATTCCTGTAAAACATTTGTAAGGCTTTGTTTCATTTTTGTTTTTGCTTTTCTATCCTAAGACTTGCTACATTTGTGATGAACAAGGAAGAGAAAGCAAAGCAGCCACTGGAGCTTGCATGACATGTAATAAACATGGTTGTAGACAGGCTTTCCATGTGACATGGTAAGTATGTTTCCATTATTGTACAGAACTGAAATTGGGACTGCCTTGTAAATGAAAGATTTAGGTACCCAGATACTATTTACAGTAAATTTTATTGGAATAGTTTTTATGTTTAGATTTACATGTGATAAAGGTAATTCTAATAATTGAATGTATTTACCAGTGTGAATTTTCAGTAGGTGGACCGTGGTTCTAATGTCTTTATTTAGTTTTATTTAATTTAAAATATCAGTGTTGGTTACCTACACTTTGATTAATTATTAGGTACACTTTGTGCAGTGCCTGAAATACTACGATTTAACGAATGGTAGTAGCATTTCTTGTCCGTATTTTACGGAGGAAAAGAGCAATCATCATCTAGTATTGTAGTGGCTACTTCTCACAAAGTTACTTCAATGTTATTTCAGCATAAAATTTTCAAGAGCAAAAATTATCTTAAGCAATTCAGTGTAATAGTAGTTTAAAATAAAGTGTGAAATCCATTTACTTACTAATTCTAAGAATCAATCCATACTTAATAGTCAATATAGGCATAGGCTTTATTTCCTGAACTCTTAGTGTGTGGATTTATGAAGTCTATTTTAGATTGCTTTTGGGGTATGGAAAATATTTTTTTAAAATAAATTCTCTTAATACTGTACTTAATTTTCCCATGATGAAAGTTCATTTTATGGGTATGAGATACATACTAATAACTGTAATTTTTGAATCTGAAAAGTGGAAGGTTAAATTGAGAAGACAATGATTATAAACTTTAGCACTTTGCATTTTTAAAATACGTAAATATAACTTATGGTTTCAGTTACATTTTTCCATTGTTTTTGATTGAAAAACACAGCTTGTGTTTTTCTTGCCTGTTTTACTGTGCTATGGCTCAAAGCATTTTCCTTCTGACAGTATGAAATCTGCATCTGTGAGCAAATACCATCACATATCATTTCAGCCTTTTAGAGGCCTGGCTTTTCCATTTGTACTTCTGGTATAGATTGAAAAGTAAAATGAAGTGTTCATTACTGGTGGTGGGGATTTCTTTAAAAAAATTCATTATATGTTTTATGATACAAAACATAATGAAAAATTTATATTGAACCACAAATATAACTTTAAATAATACCAACCACAGGTTGAGGTGAAGTCTGCTTGGTCACTGCCAGAACAAAACCTTTTATATTGTCTTTTTCTCTTAGGAGATCTAAGTTTGTTTGTTTAAATCTTATGTGCTTGGGAGTGAATTTCAATTTATTTATATATATACTGTTTGAAATTTTATTGATATAATTGGCTTTTATTTTCAGTGCTCAGTTTGCAGGACTGCTTTGTGAAGAAGAAGGGAATGGTGCAGATAATGTCCAATATTGTGGCTACTGTAAATACCATTTTAGTAAGCTGGTAAGAATTTAATATTAAAATGCTAAGTGATTAATTTTGACAATAGAGTTGACTCTTTAAAAAGGCATAGTAGCTATTCCTTTTTCTTTGATTTTCCTGAGATTAGGTTTGTTTTGCATGTTCTTTACTGGAGATAAAAAAGACCTAGTAATTTTTAAAGATTTTGCTTTGCTTCAGTTCATTAATAAAGGCAAATGTTCTAAAATTCTAATTTAGAATATGTAGTACTAGTTAATAGTAAATGTTGGTATACATTTAGAAGAAACAAATGTTTAAAGAACTATATAACTCAATACTATTTTTAATGATTTTTGACATTTGAATACAATCATTTTGTGATTCTCTTTCTTATTTCTCATATTTTTGCTTTATTACTATTGTTGTTTATTTTTTATATATTTACTAGGAAATAGTAAAGCTGTAACAAGGCTGTTTTGCAACTTCTTAGTAAAAGATCTTAAAATATATTTAAATACAACTTTGGTGATTATTTTAGATTTGGCCAGGCTTTACTGTTGCGCAGTAGGAGCACAGATGATTGAGTTAGTAATATTCGATTAACTTAAATATTTTCTGTTTATGTTCTTTTGAAGGATCAATATTTCTTTTAATGTCCCAAGTGTCTATTTCTCAGTTGTCGTTGATAACAACCAGATATGTATACCGAAGTTTAAGCCCTCTTTGTTTTCTTTTAGTGTCTTTTAAAAATTTTTTTAAAAAAATTTTGTTGACCTTTCTCTTGAGGCTGGGGCTCTCATTCTTCCCCTCCCTACCTCCCGTCTTCTCTCCGTTCCTCAACCTCCCTTCCTGGTAAATAGTATCATTAGGGTCCCATTTTTCTTGAAATGAACAGTTCATAACTCTACTATTCTGATTTATGCATGTGAAATACTTAAAAGTATGTGTATATATTGTTTGATATTGAAAACATGTATTTTAATGACTGACAAAGAAGACTGAAGTGTGTAAAAGAAAATTTTGAGATAATAAAATTGAAAATTTTGCTGCTTGGATGTTTACAAGCATGTTGGAAGTTTTGTTATTTAAATGACAAAAGATATTGATAAAATATAGAAATAATGAAAGTGGAATTTGAAGTTTGTATAGATGGAATTTTATCATTGCTAATTATCGACATGCTGTTCTTGTTTTAGTTGCATATTTGCATGGAATTTGAGCACCTTTTATAGTCATTTTTATCTAGTTTATACTAAGTAGTTATGGTATCACCAAGTTTTAAACATCTCAAATAACTTCTACCATACTTCATTATGAAATTATGTAAATACTTTAAACAGAAGTGTGTGACACTTTTAGTAATGCTTTGAAAGATGCATGGATCTAATACTGGCATTTTCTTTAATTTTTCTTCTTAACTACAGAAACAAGTTTTTAGAAAACTGTATGCCTTAATACTGTTTGAGATTAAAGAGCTTCTTGCTTTTCCTCGTGGCATGAAGTAACATATTTTCTTTTCCTTTAGTCTTAGCATCCTTCTTCACTATGGCATTCTCTATTTTGGTTGAAACTTTTATTTTTTAAAGCAAAAGTTGAAAATTATAGCTGATTTTTTAAAAATGAGCTGGTTGTGTGATAAAGTGAAAAGTAAGCTATTGCTTATTTGAAACTCTAGTGTATCTTCACACATTTTAATAAATGTACAAAAATATGGCATTTATGTTAAATTTAGGGTCAGGTTTTTCTTTATAATGCAATGGGTAATATATGGATGGCATCTAAATAGGATTATATATTTTAAAATAGTCAGACATTTTTTACATCAGTAGACATTTTGAACTACCTCACACTTGAATCGGTTTAAGCTTAACAAAGCGATAATTTAAAAATTTTTATATACATATACATATATGTATATATATTTTCTTTTTTAGAAAAAGAGCAAACGGGGATCTAATAGGTCATATGATCAAAGTTTAAGTGATTCTTCCTCTCACTCTCAGGATAAACATCATGAGAAAGAAAAAAAAGTAAGTGGATTTGTTGTTGCTAAGTATGTAGCACATCGACTTAATAGATTTTTCCTTTTTTATAAAATTAAGTTCTTGGTAGCTGAATGTAGACATTGAAATATTGAAATTTTTTGATTAATAAAGAGTATTAAGTCAAACAGTAGGTCTAAAAGAATGCCATATTTATTAATATGGTTGTGTCCATTTCAATTGAAAATTTGAAATATAAGTTGATTGAAAACATGAAAGGGATTTCTTGCATGTGTTACTGTGGTCATCTTACGAAATCTTTCGGTGACTTCAGCAGTAATAGTTTGTTGTGACATATATTAACTGATTATTTCACATGTAAGTAAAATCTAATCCGCTTTTTTTGTTTATAATAGAACAATTTGGAAGTTCCATATATTCTTGACTGTTTTTTTTTCCTCCCAGTGGTGCTAATGGTTTAAATTATTTTTAATGGACAAATGTCGTACCATTTGTTTGAGAATATTTTGTCTTTTAATTAAAACATTAAAAGCTTGCCTAATACTAATCTGTCTTCTTCTGACTTAGCTATTTTCTGCTTATATTTCTACTTATATTAAAGGTTATGAATAATATTTAGTAAACTAGTAAGTACTGTAGAATCATTCATAGGACATATTGCCAATGTGGGAAAATGATTACGTACTTTCAATTGTTTTTTAGCAAAGTGAGGATACAGAGGACATCCTAAATTAGAAAAGAATATTACTCTGAAACAGTTGGTATAAACCAATTTGGAACACATTTCTACAGATTGTATAAAAAGCTAAAGCACCTAACACTTTCATGTTTATAAACACTTGGGGTTGAAAAAATAACCCAAATAAAAAGTAAAAAGAATACTTGGGATTGGGAAGGTGATCGAAAAGCTACTGTTATTTAAAAACAAATTTGGTTTGGATTTATGTTTGTGCCTTTTTTCAAGGAATACATTTTAAAAGCTTTTTAATCTGGATTAATTTTCCAGTTATGAGTTAAATAATAATTAAAACTTTATATTCACCTTTAGAGCACAGTTTAGGTTTGTAAAATTCTTTGTAGGTCTTAGGCAGCGAGTATACATACATATTCATTTTCATTTCTTTAATGAAGTGGGTTTGTGATGGCAACGCTAGTAGAGTTCTGCCTTGCTGTGTATTGTTTGGCCTGTTGATGGAAAAATGGAATATTTGGCTTAATTAGTGATTTTAATAAGAAACACCATCTAATTTTTATTTAAGCTTTTAAATCCATTCACAAGGGATTCTTAGTTAGGGCTCATTATAAATTGTGAAGAGGAAGTCTTACCAATGATTTTCTTCTGTTCTGCCATTTCATGAGCATTATCTTGTTTAAAGAAGTGTTCATTGTATGACCATATGTATCTTAATATATACCCTGTTACGTTATTTTTAAAGGACAATTAAATGTAGCTCTTGGTTTAATAAATAACAGTGCTGATGACTTTCTTTATTAATCACTTTTCTACACTAGGAGTGAATTAGATTTTTTTATTTTATGAGTTTTTTTGCAGTTGTTGAATACTAGAGTAGAAAACATTGTATTTAGTTAGTCAAAATTTTTTATTAGTGTGCAAGTACTATTTGAGTTTTACTTTTAGCATATATAAGTTTCGTACAGCTTGATTTTGTTGTCAAACTTAAAATCCGTTTATCCATTTTATTTTGAAATAACTAAGGTTTTCTGATAATCTATAAAGTTTGTGAGGTAAACATATTATAAAGTTAATCTTAGACTTGTTTGCTTGCCTAGGTAATATTTGGGAAGGGATGTTAAGTGATACTATAGTTGAAAAGATTTGATGTTATAGACTATTTTTCTCTTCATCCCATCCTTACCTCTTAATGTTTAAAATGTTACATTGAAAGGTAGCACTCACAATCTATTCAGATTTTGGTTTCTAAAAATACTAGGTGGATTATGAACTAAACTTTGGTGATATTGTTTATAAGATATGTTAGAAGGACTCTCTGAATTCTTTTATCTACCTTTATTCTGGCACATATTTTAAAATATTTATTAAATTTTAAGTAAGCAGTGATAAGGAATATTTAATACTAAATATTGTGCTATCCAGATCACTTATTTAAAAATGAAATCAATAATTTATTATTTCATTTTTTATATAATTATAAGAAAATAATAAAATATATAGTCTTTGCTTCTCAGAGAATTTCTTTGTGACCCAAGATATATTTATACTGATTAGATATTAACTGAAATGCCAGCAAGGACAGAAGAAAAGTTAATAGTGAGATACGACTTTGAATAAGAGACAGTGTCTATAAAAATTGAAAAATTGACATATATTTTTAAAAGAACGAGGGGTACATGTTTAAAATGAATCAAAGCTACATACAGGGAAAGTTAATTCAAGAGTTAATGTTCATTGTAAAAGACAATTTTCTTTTAAGCCTAGTGTTCTTATATTTACAAAAGCACTGCTGTAGACTGAGTTGTGGACAAGTGTTAAGAAATGGAGGGGCACATCATATATAGTAAAAGGACTTTTTTCCTAAAGGCTAAGGTGTAGGTCATTATTTAGAAATCAGTGACTATTGCATATTGAGATAATATTGTACCCGGTCATTTGATCCTTAGACTCTCTCTTCCTACTCATCAATGCTAACTGATCTATAATGTATCAAAAATATAGTAAAAATTAAAAAAAATTCTCATCCAAGGATATGTTTATTGATTTTTTTCAGAGAGAAGAGGAGGGAGGGGAAAAAAGGAGGGCGGTGGGGAGAATCATGGATGTGAGAGTGAAACATGCATTGGTTGCTTCCTGTACACATCCCCACCAGAGACTGAACTCGAAACTTAGTTATATGCCCTGACTGGGAATTGATCTTGCAATTATTTGTTGTATGGAATGATGCTCCAATGAGATGAGCCTCCTGGTCATGGCAGTACTATTCTTATAATACTTTATAGCCAACTCGCCATTAATAGCAATGTGCTATATGGAAATGTTCTCAGTTCCAAGTAGGTAAGCCAGAAATCCATCTGTCCCCTACTGCAGCTAGAGCAATTTATCTTATCCCCAGCTCCATCCCCTTTACTTGTTCTTCGTTCCATTTTGTTATTAATAGCTGACAACAGATAAAGGAGCAATTACCAATATAAACACTGTTAAGATATGGTGGACATGTGTGAGAGGTAGGCTTTTGGTTAGTGTATTGTGAACTTCAGGGATTGACTGGACTTCCTTTTTGTTCAGGACTCTTTATATCTTGGAAGTGAACCGGACTACTTCAGTGGCCTGCAGGGGAATAAAACTCTCAATCACCGAGTTGTCATTACTTCCCTGTATCTTTTTAAAAATTCAGCATTGAGCATTACCTCTCATCCCCTTGTGCTTTTTTAGGTACTTTACTTCTGGAAATCTATTCGTTAAAACCTTAAGTCTCTACATGTGCAGAGAGTTAAGAACATGCAGGACTTTTCAAGAACAACAATTTAAAATGTCTGGTGTGTGTGTGTGTGTGTGTGTGTGTGTGTGGTGGGACAGAAGACTGACATGAAATGAGACTATTTAGTTAAGAAGGGGCCAGTCCATGAGGAGTTTTATAAAGAAAGCTAGTTTTATCCTTCATCCTGAGGCATTGGGCAGCCAGCCAGGAGGATTAATTTTTTTTAACTTTTGATTTTGTTATAATTTTAGACTTTGAGAAAAGTTACAAAGTATTACACATTTTTTCTCTACACTATTCACCCAGATTACCAAAAAGTTAGCATTTTATCATGTTAGCTTTATTACATTCCCTTTTCCCCCCTTGCTGTCTATCTTCCTACCCCCACAACCCTTTTCTGGACCTTCAGAGAGTAAATTACAAATATCATGGCCTTTAGCCTAATAAGTACTTTATCATGTAGTTTTAATAAATATGATTTAAATCCTCCATTATTGCAGTACAATTATCAAAATCAGTAAATTAACATTGTTACAGAACTATTAGCTAATCTATATATGTTCAAATTTCACTTAAGAACGTCCTCCATATTAATGGGGGGAAATGTTTTTACTGGTCCAGAATCTAATCCAGGAATACACATTGCATTTAGTTGTTGTCATTGTCTCCTTAGTTTTTCCTGTTCTGGAATATTTTCTCATTCTTTGTCTTTCATGACCTTGACATATCCAAACCCCTATGATTTCAGGCTCTCTGAGGCACTGCTATAGATCCGAACAATGAATTTTACAGACACACCCTTAGTTTACTCTTCATGTAGTGGTTTTCTGACAGTAGCCTAGATTTTTGTCTTTGAAAACCATTGCTTACTTTTAGCTTTGCTTGCTGTCTGGAGAGACAAGAAATTGTTTTCTTTTCTCTTTTTTTAAAAATCCAAGAATTTGTATTTAGGACACTTAATTAGAAAGTGCAGTGTATATTATATAACAGATTATGGCAAAGCAACTTATTCATATTACTGGAATGAACACAGTAACACAATAGAAGAAGTACATTCTCAAAATATCCAATATTTGCAATTTTAAAAATCCTAGCAATTTAAGAAAAAGGTACTTTAATAGTAGGACTAAATTAGGTGAAAGAGAAATAAAAGGAGTAATAACTTTTTTCACAAAGTTCAGCAGTTTGAGTAAGTTTTGTGGGAAACCACTGCTGAGCCATAACCCTCAACAAACAAGAAATTCTTGTAAAATATATTAAAATATATTACTTAGTCTAATAGTTCTACAATTTGCAGATATAAACTATATTGTCATCAAAAATGTGTGATTCATGAATAGTTTTCATAGTACATGGAACTGTACATGATGAAAACAGCAGTGGCTTAAATGTAACAAATTAGGGTGGAGTTAAAAAATGGAGGCATCATATAACTTCATAAGCTCCCTCAATATGCATTAAAATCATATTTGTTTGAAGGAGAAGGAATAGGCAAGGCATGAACAAATGGGCATGAACTAGAGTTTTGTCACCGAGCCTCACAGATACGCAGTTGTGAGAGGGTTCTTGGGA